ATTGCTTTTCCTTTTCATTTACAACATTTATCTTTAAGTTCAAGTCTTTCTCCTCTTTCACACTGCCTTCCTATCAGTCTTGGCTCCCTACTTTTAATTACAAAGTAGTTTGGTTTGTATTTTTGACATACCTTGCACGCCTTGTGTCGTCTCTCGTTAGAGTCTGTGCCCTTGTTGATCTTTGGACAGTGTGGGATAGTGGGCAAGAGTCTCTGGAGTCAGACTGTCTAGGTCTAAATCCCAGGCTCCCTGGTTAATAGCTGTGTGACTTTGGGTAAGTCACTTAATTGCTTCTGTCTAAATTTCATTCTCTGTAATAGGGGGATAATTAGAGTAAATACTTTAAAGAATTGTTGTGAGAATTACATAAGTTAATAAATGTAAACTGCTGAGAACACAGCCTGTCACTGCACTGTCCAAAATTGTATCCATAAACCCTTTGTGGCTACTGAACAATTAGGATGTGGCTATCACGACTGAGTAATGGCTTTTTTAAAATGGAAGCAATATAAAATATATTTCTGTTAAACACAACTTTCTTGTTTTGGTGGGACTACATTTCACTTTAACCGATGTATTTCACACAGTTCTTGTTGGTGTGAACTAATTTATTCACTTTGATTTTTTTTTTCTGTGTTCTATCTAACATTGTAATGTGTTTATTTGAATATTGTATGCAGACAGCACAACTTACAATGATATGTGTACCTCATCGTTGGTAATTAAATTGTTTATAGTTTTAATTAAAATATAATTAAATTATTTTTCTAGTTAAAGTAAGTATAGACCAATTTTAAAATTTAAAACAAAGGCACACTACTGCTGCAGCATTGAGTGCAGATGCAGAAACAAGTACTGTGATCACAGCAGTGAAGTCAAAAAGAGACTGGGAAATTCTGTGATGAATGGCATTTTCAGTTTGCTACACCAGAGCAAAACAGAAAAGTTGTTTGTTGTGTAAAAAAAAACTTAAAGAAAATAAAGGGGGTAATATTAAGAGGTATTTTCAACAAATCCGTAGTGGATTTGGTTAGAAGTTTTGTATCAAAGGTCAAGAAAGAATTAATGCATTTAATTGCCTGAAATCTGAATTAAATCTCCAACAAATATTAAATTTTTAACAGAATGTGAGCTTGTAACTTTGGCCATCTCTGAAATGGCACAAAAAAGGAAGATAGAGAGGTGGCAAAAGAAATAATTTGTAACTAAAGTTTTATTAGAAAATTATGAGAAAAGACAAAAATATATTTCACAAAAACTTTAAGATGTTTAATTAAATCACCAAACAATTGCTTGAGGAATACAAGGTCTTTCTAACAGTATCAAAGATCAATCGATTTGAAATTTGAAAATTTTTAAGTACTTTTCTTTAGCTTTATACAACTTTATGATATATGAGTCACTATGTAGTAATATGTTAGATACCTTTTATCTAAAAGGACTGCAAAATTTACAGAGACTGGTGTTTCTCTTATTGCTTCTTTCCGCTGTATTCTGAAGCAAACTCTGTAAAAAGTTACATAGATACCATAGCTAAAATTACTCAGTCTACACATGGAAATATATGAATCATCGCCAGTTTACAGACTTGTTGAAGGAAATAGAAGACAGTGAAGGCAGTGATCTTGTGCTCTTTGCCAGCACTCATTGGTAGTGTCAGGGATGAGTTTTACAAAGATTTCTGTAATATTTACTCCAAGATAAGATCTTCCTTTCTATCTTGAAACAAAAGGAGTGCTTGCCAAATATTCAGTAATTATAAAGAAAACATGACAGTGTGGTTTATGTTTTCTCACTTGTGTCTCACAGCTTTTGAATGAGATAAATTTGAAGCTTTAAGGAAAGGAAAAGCTTATTTGTGACCTAGCTAGGGAGTTAGGAGAATTTGTTGAAATTGAAGATTTCCAGAATACAAATCAATAGCAATGATTTTACACATTTTTCTAACATGAATCAATATGCAGAAGATTTTACTTATTAATAGCATTACATGAAGTGGCTATAAAAACTAGAAAGAAAATTTGAAGAACACTGTTAGAGTGGCTTTCCAATTATGCAAAAACTCCTTTTCAGTGTTAATGCTTGACACAAGAGTTGGTGAGTTAACTTGAACAGATGTGGATTTTAAACTGATATACTTTTGCTCCGAAGTCAAATCAATTTTTCTAAAAAAATGTGAACCAGTTTTGCCAATGTGTATGTGAATATTAAAGGAAAATAATTTTCTTGGTATTCAGTTCAGTTTTTGGAAGACTTTTAAGGACATTTGATATAACCTAGGTATGTGAATTTACTTTTTCAATTGTCACTTTTATGAAATCTAAATACAGATCATGTGTTTCTGAAGAAAATTTAGATGTGAATTGAGATGTGCTGTAAGTGTAAAGTAACAGAAGACTTTACTACAAAAAAGAATGTAAAATACCTCAAATTTTTAATTGACATATTGATATAACATTCTAGATACATTGAGTTAAATAAATATATGATTAAAATTAACGTTTACTTATTTTTCTTTACCTTTTTAAAATTTGGCTACTAGAAAATTTTAAATTACCCATGTGGTTCCCAATATATTTCTGTTGGCCAGTGCTGGCCTAACATATCATGGGTGTGCAGTGAATGAATGTTAGCATTAATATGGTTGCTAACATGATGGTGATGATGGTGATGTGTTGACTCCTTGTCCTCTCACTGGATTATAAGTTCCTTGAGGGTAGGAGATACATCTTATCCTTATTTTTATTTGCCATATCACATTACATAGTCCTTTAGATATTAATAGATGTTTATCAGTTGATTGATTGCCCCAGGATCTTCTTTTAACATTCAAAGTAGAGAGCTACATTTTTTTTTTTTGTCCTCAGGATAATGGCATAGGAAAATCCCTCTGAGTGAGCATATACCCACATACTCATGTATACATACACACACAGGAGCATTTCGTTTAGTATACTTAAAGGAGGGGTTATTTTAAGCAATCATTCTTAATAATAGATTGTTACAAAAGTAGTTGATGATACTTAAAAAATTGTTTTGCAGTAAACTTTATGAGTTTTTATATACATTTATTAGTTAATTGAAAAGCCTTTAAAAAAACTGCCGTGGCATCTTGTTTTGGTTGAAACATTTTTATTTTGATTGAAGAAGTAGTATTGTGGAAATAACACTGTAGTTAGGATTAGAAAAATTGGTTTCATGTTCTGCCAAGTTTAACAAAGGATTTAAGCTTTCTAAACTTCAATTTTCTAATCTGGAAAAATGGGGATAATAACAGCTACCTCACCAGGATGTTGTGAGATATAAATGGGAAAAATATCTTAGAGTACTTAGCAACCATAAGTAATTATAAAAATGCAAGATACTATTATTTTGATGGGAATAATAATAAATACATTGGAGAACATGTGCTATAATGTAAGGTTGAGTTAACTACATCTGTTAAAAGGTGATAGCTTATCTGAATTTTAAGCCTAGTGTTTTAGTAGAAGAAAATACTCTCAATTTGTCTAAATGTATGGTCCAAATCTGCAAAATGTAGTCAGTTATCCCAAATAAGTTATAAATATTAGGAATGAGAATAGCTGGGAAACAAAGCAATAGTTAGATATTTAAGTGTTATAAGTTTAGACCAAAAGGTGGATGTGATCAGATTAGGCTGAATTAGAGACACCTGGTTTTCAGTCTAGGACCCTGGCAAGGTTGGGAATTTGGAGCTTGGTGCTACTATGATCAAGATGGGGAGTTGTGTACTATCCCTTTTAGGGTGGACATTATTTTTCACCTAGAGAACGCCCCTCCTTTCTGCCCCCTTTTACCCTCACAAAACTGCAAAAGTAGAATGGAATCTTTTTTTTTTTTTTTTTGAATGACAAATTTGGTTTTTATTACATTTTCAGTTATAAGATGTTTATACTGGTTACCAATCTAAATTTATGTTGAGAATACCTACTAAAGGCAGGTCTCTATGGATGATCATCTAAGAAATGTTCCTGCCTTTGAGATGACAGCATAAAGAGAGAATACAGTATAGAAATATAAAACAAAGCATGATACATCTTAAGAGGAACAAAATGCTACAGAGACACAGCAGGTACAGACCTTGAGGAATGGGCTTAGCCATCTCTCAGAACAGACAAATCATTGAGAATGGAGCTAGGGGTGCAGGTGAGGTTGGCGACAGGCAGGTACCAGAGGTGTAGGGCTTGCGGGCCACATAGAGTTTGAAGTTTATCCTAAGTGCAGTGCAAAGCAGTTGGAGGGTTTTAAGCAAGAGTAACGTCTTCTCCATATAAGATCACTCTGGCTGCTAAGTGAATGGATTGTAGGGGCAGTAGTGAATGGAGACTAGTCTCTCAGAGGCTACTGCAGATGCTGGGTCCATTTGAAGGTACCACTACTTGGGCAGAGTGATGTTCAGAGCAGGAACCAAGAGTAACTAATAGGTATCCAGCCTCAGCAGCTGCATTTGGAGTGGTATCAGTTAGAGAAAGAGGCAAAGATAGTCTCTCTCGCACCCACCCAAAGTTCTGCCAAGCATCTATCTGATCTCATCCTTCACATATTGTTGTGGGCCTAAGGGAAAGTACCGATTTCCCCCAGTGGTCAGAGTGGTGGGCATCACTTCCGCTCTGTGGCATAACACTAGAAAAGCCTACTGATCTAGAAATGCAATTGGATTGGTTCCATGAAAACCACAGAAAGTATTTATTCTACAAAGGCAGACGAAGACACTGAGGAGTTCAAACTAAATACCAGTTCTACAGGTAGATTCTCCAGGGCTGGGAAGTACCCAGACAAAATATTTGATACCTCTCACCAAAAAAATCTAATTTTTTTTGTTTTAAACAGTTTTATGCAACTAGTACCACAATACTATTTCAGTAATCTGCCTCCTAGTGAAAATAAGGATATTCTACAGCAAATAATGGATCACCTGTCAACTATTTCAACCATGAAAAAGGAACAGAAAATGTGTGAGAAGTGCCCTGAAACTACTCAACAAAGATGCACTATACAGTGACTCTTCAGAATCTTCTACACGGAACACGCTGTGCAATAAACATCCTAAAGTTAGCCTAACAACTGGGCCACTGGAGCCACGTGCAGATATTCGACGTGAAGAAGGATATCATACCCCACACAGAATAGTCTTGAAAAAAATAACACTGTATATTATTTAAAAATAAAAAATAGAAGTTTTTATTGAATTCTTTAAATTACTACTCCATGATTTCTTCTTATTGGAAAAATTTTTAATCAACCATTCATAATTTGACTAAAATTAAAAAAAAAAAGATATTTTGTAAATGTGTCACGGACACAGGCAACAGAATCCTACTTTTTGTAGAGGACCTTAATCTGAATAAAGTCATAAGTTTTTCAATAAATCTCCACTGAATTTTCTGGTCATTTTACAAAAACAAGCACACCACTGTCCATGGGAAATGGGTTAGACAGATAGATGTTCTTTCAGTTTATCCATGATTTCATTCATTTTGTCGCCTGGAATTAACATCACAGTTCGCAAGGGCTTCATTGGTACATCATCAAAGGACCATCTGCCTCCCAGACACGTGTCACTCTCCTCCTGCACCGAGTAGCTGAACTTCAGGATTGCCTTCTCATAGAAAAATTCTTCCTCTGCATTTGCAAACATTAACTCAACTTGCTCTTCATTGCTCCATTTCTTTTTGGAATTTTTCCCTGCTTCCATGAATGTCTTGCTAATCAGAAGGTAGAAGCAGCACTTCCCACATGGCTTGTTAGTTTTGTGTGCCTCTGCTAGTTCTTTCTGAAGCTGCTGGTGCATGGGCAGAGCAATCTGTGGAGGAACGTTGATGAATCTTTCACTTAGTAGAAAGCCCACAGGCTTAGTGGTGTCATTTAAAAGCTTGTCCAGCTGTTCAACCATGCTCTTTTCACAGTTCTTCTCACAGAAGCTTAGAATCAACTCTTTAATTTGTTCAGCACACTGCGTCCCCTTTCTTTCAGTTAAATTTAAAAGACTTATAAAACCAAAAATCTCATCTTCATCCACATTGTCATCGCTGTCTTCCGAAACATCCGTTTGCTTAATCACACTCCCAATATGGTTCTGTTGAATTAAGAGATCTGTTAGTTCTGCAGTGTTCACAGGAGCCTTTAGGAAAAGCTGCTGCAGTAATTTCTTAATTCCGTCATAATCGTTATCTGAGATAGAGTAAGCTTCAAATTCAATATTCACTTCCTCGTCGATGATCTTGTCGTCTTCATCCTCTTCTTCCTCACTGTCTTCATCATCTTTGTCCTCATCCTCGACTTCATCTTCCTCTTCTACCTGCTTGCGTGGGACTGACACCCTACTGCCCACTGCATGCCGCTTGGGCCTGGACGCCATGTTGCCGCCCTCCTAGAATGGAATCTTGATAATGTTTTCTATCAGTCCTATTAAGTTGCAATTTTAAAAAAAGCGTATGGTTGAGTAACAGCTAAGCCTCGTTGCTGTTGGTGAAGGAAAGCAAAATGACGAAATAAAAACTTAAAGCATAAGCTCTATAAAAGTTTGAACTGTCATCTAAGTGTTTCACAAACAATTTCTTCTGTTTCTCTGTTAGGGCTGAGCTATCTAGAAATGCACCTGGAGTGTAAGGCCTAACAGACAGTGACACTGGAGAGAGAGCTGCAAGTATGATGGAGGCACAGACGTTTAAATATGGTTTACCCAGAATGGTTTTTGTTACCTTCTTGGAGTGGCAGAACCCTAATGTATAATAATATCACAATCTAGCAAATAAATACAGACATTTCCTAGCCCACAAAATTGAGTTTTACTGGCTGATCCTACCCCCAGACACTACATGCCAGTGAAATCAACATTGTTTGTACCTATAGGAGCTCTGTGATTTACAGTCATTCCTACAACACTCTAGTCTTTTTCTGTCCTGGGGCTCTGAATGTTAGTTTTATTAGTTTTATGATATGCAGCTTTCTGGGTAAATGCTTACAAATTTCTCCATTTACACTCCTGTACATGTTCTTGAATTTCATCTGTCTTTCAGTGATTTTAAATTATGCAAATCACAGTTCTTATTTTATATCTTTCTTCAGTGATTTACAATGTCACCAGTGTGCTAGGGACTCCATAGCTGCAGAGCAAATCTGAAACGCATCAGGGAGCTGATAAGTGACATTCTGTCATAGCATGCACATCTTTTAAGAGCAATCTTAACTAGATTGTGCCAATTAATTATATCCCTGAAAGAAAATGGATTACTGAGAGAAAGAATATTTGTAAATAGTTAACTTGCCTTGTTACCACAGTGACGTTTAGTAGCAACCTGTTAAATGAATGTGCAGTAAAATGGGGAAAGATGGAGTCATCAATATATGTGTATCCTTTTGTTCTTATGACCTTTTTAAAGATGTAAACAAAAGGACATTTGTTTTGTCTTCCTGTATTAGCCAGGATACAAATTATGAAAAGAATTGCACAAGGAAATGTAAGATGGAGGTAATTAATAAATACTAAAATTTCATAATTATTCTCTTCAGTACAAAGTTTTTTTTTCTTCCAAATGTAAAGTTTTTCATTAAGCATGGACTTGAACACTGGACAAAGTGCAGCTCTGTCTTAGAGTACCTGCAAAAAATCATTTCCTCTATAAATCACTTGAATGATTAGAACTACGTAAACATGTGCTTTGCAAAGAAACAGTCTTTAATTGTCTGAACTGTCACTTGGAGAGATAATGAGAAAGGAAAAAGGAAAGAGAGAGAAAAACTCTGTTTTCAAAATTTGTACAATTTTAATTTATATATATGTGTGTGTGTGTATATATATGTATATATATATTTACTACAAAGAGATTATTTTTAAGCATGATGGTTACCAGTAATTTATTATTAACTTCCCTACAGATCTATACAAGTCTTTATCAATGTATTTGGAACCCTGAGTTATAAAAACTTTCAGTTAGTATAGTGTTCTAAACTTGAAAGGAGCTATTCACACCAACACTGAACTGGCCAGTTAGATCTTTAAAAGGATTTTGACAGGGATATGATTCTTGTATTTCCTCTCTTTTTTTCCCTACCTTGATTTCATGCTCAAGTGTGGTGATTTATTTCTCCAGGGCACTGTGCCGTCGGTATAGAATAGGTCAGTATGGTAGTATTTCATAACTTTTATCCACACAGCCTTGCCACCCTCTGTCCATGACTCATACATCTACTGGTGTTCCCTGATAGCAGAACATTTTGATTAGATGTACAGGCTACCTGGTTACTATTCTCATCCTGTCCACGTGTGGGCTTGCTGATGCGTGTGAAATGTGGAGGTCCGAGCCGGTGTTGAAGCATAATCCTATCTAGGCCAGGAAATGTCTGGCTTTTCAGATACTTCTCAGAGCAATAGGGCAGGGACTAAATCTCTTATTTCCTTCCTGTCCTCTATTTCATAACACCTATGGCCCAAGTGAATGTTTGATATTCACCAGTCTTGGAAATTTCTCTCTCACTCTCCCATTCTTGACACTCATGCTGAAGTTTTTATCCTTCAGAGGAAAAAAAAAAATCCTAATATGACCTTTGCATTGTTAATAAATTCTATAGAGACCAAATTTCATGTTAAAACGTCTGTAGGCCCATCATTATGGAGTGATTGATACTTATAGTGGAGCAGATAGCCATGTAAATAATTCATTACAAATATATAGTTCAAATCCTTGCTCTGTCTACTAACTAAGATATTGGGCAGGTTACTTGGTCTCAGTTCACCTCAGTTTGCTCATTTGTAAGATAGAGATAATAATAGTGCCAACTACATATGATTAGTGTGAAGATTTAAAAGTTAATGAATGTAAAGCAATTTAAAGCATGCCTGGCGTATCCTAAGTGCTATATACGTGCTTACTATTGTTATTACTACTATTGTCATCATAGTCATTTGTAGTAATAGTAGGTCGTATTGAGACTTTTTTTTTTCCTCTGAAGGATAAAATCTTCGGCATGAGTGTCAAGAATGGGGTAGTGGGGGAGAGAAAAACACAGAGGTTCAAACTAAAGGAGCTTACGTTTAAAAAAGAAAAGAATCAGTGGGATACAGTATTCTTTAGGCATACTTTTATTCATGTGGAGATGAACAAGTTGGTTCACCCTTGAGGTATCTATGTATTATGTATACCCAGCATACATGTAGGCCATTAATAAATGCCTTTGGATTTACTTCTGAGGCTTTTTAAACATTTCTGGGACTGTGTTGGAGTATCTGTGTGCCTGTTGTCCTTCTTCTAATCATGTAATTAAAAATTATCTTTCTGTATCTCATTAATAACTATTTCTTTCTACCCCCTTATTTTAGCCCTTTAATCCCATTTTCCTTATAGCATTTGCCTAAATTAGAGAAATTTATTTTACTATGTTGAAATTAATGCTGTTACAAATGCTGGGCTGTGCACGTATACCTGGAGTTCAGATTTTGGTGTTTGCATTTTTTCTTGCTCATTAAACTAAGAGTTTACAATAAATCATTTGCAATTTGAAAGGAACATGTATTTTAAACCAGGTTATTATGGGAGTTCTACCACTGAGAATCTGCTAACCAGGGGCCGGCCCTGTGGCTTAGCGTTTAAGTGTGCACGCTCCGCTACTGGCGGCCCAGGTTCGGATCCCGGGCGCGCACCGACGCACTGCTTCTCTGGCCATGCTGAGGCCGCGTCCCACATACAGCAGCTAGAAGGATGTGCAACTATGACATACAACTATCTACTGGGGCTTTGGGGAAAAAAAAAGGAGGAGGAAGATTGGCAATAGATGTTAGCTCATAGCCG